CTTCTTCTTCTTCTTCTTCTTCTTCTTCTTCTTCTTCTTCTTCTTCTTCTTCTTCTTCTTCTTCTTCTTCTTCTTCTTCTTCTTCTTCTTCTTCTCCGTCTTCATGGTCGTTTTCTTCTGCTTCTTCCTGTTCCCCTTCTTCTTCTTCCATGGTGCACTCGCTCAATACAATTCAGATTTCGCAGATGTTTATTTCTTGTCGTTATACAAGCAGGCAAAGCTGCTTATGGGTCCACCATATGTTTTTAGAAAATCATTGCTATAATACAATTTTGATTTTGGTTCTGCGCAACCTCGCAACGGGCTGTTCAGCTGGTTGCCTGACCCAGAAGTGGGAATCTGCGTCCAGACAGCCCAAGCCTGCCAAACTACAGAGCGGGCTATGTAAGCTGGAACTCAAAATTCCAAGCCTTCTGGAATGCTTAGTAGGACAACCCAATTTTTCAAGCGGTCTGGAATGCTCATTACGGCGTGCATGATCTCCATTTACAAGGCAAGGGCTGTACGGCTGCTGCAGCCTGGTCTGTCCATGCTTGTAGGCTTATTGTAGGTTTGATGTTTGAGCCATGTGAAGTTTTTGAAAGCTGACGTGCTGAAGGAGTGCTGCAAGTTGCACGAGGGAATGAAATCAAGTTGGAAAAAAAAAGAAAAGAAGTTGACCCTCTGACTACATCTGACAAGGCTTTCTGGACTTTGGTATCGTTTCTCTCCCTCAATCTCACAGTGGCTCTTCCGGCGACAACATCATCAGCAACTGGTGGCACGGGGAGCACCTCAGCTGTCAGAGTTGCAGGTAAGCAAAGTGCATGCTGCTCGCTTTTAGTCATAGCAATGAGTTTGACATTGCCATGCCTCCTTCCATTCTGCGAAGTGTCAGTCCAGTTCCTTTTTCTTGTTTCTCAAAAGGGCGACGGCCTTGAGAAATCATCATTGAGCTGACCGGCACCAGGCAATTCAGAAAAAATAGTTGGTTTTATAACTTTACTCATCATCTGGATTCGAACTCGGGTCTGTATTCCAACAGTTCATTGATGTACCCATCCTCTTAAAGCAAGTGTTGTTCTTGGGCTCTGAAACCCTAAACCCTGAACCCTCTTTCTCTCTCTAGCTCGGGGTGTGAGCCCTTCCTTTCTCTCCGATGACTGTTCTTACTAGTACTTTCCTCTAAATTTCCCTTTTTGAGCACACGCTCACGCTCCTCCCCCTTCTGGTGTGGAGGCCCGAGGGGCGGCATTGATTGCTTCCATCAGGAAGGATGTTACCCCCCTCACCCCTGCCTAAGTTATCCTGTGCTTCTTCTCTCCTATCTTTTACTAATCGGGAATTCCGTTCGCTCTAGTGTTTGGGGCTTGATTTTTGTGTTCCTTCCGGTTCGTGCCTCTCAGCTCCTTGGCTGCCTGTTTTTCTTTTTGTGTTAGTACTGCTGATGGGGCTGCTTGTGTTAAATTTTGTTTGCGCCAAATTCTGTGAGGTTTACACCTGCTGCGGTCCTTGCTATAACCCTGTCCCTGGCTCGTCTACTTATTCTTGTAAGCCGTGTCTGTGTCTGTTGACGTAGGGATTTTGGATTCCTGAGGGGATTATGGTGGTGCTTTGCAGCTTTAGTGAATCTTTCTTCTGAGGCGCTAAGTTTCCTTATGAGGTTCTGTGTTTGGTACTAAGGTTGGGGTCAAGTCTGTTAACGTGAAGTCAGGTAGTAGGGCGCTGCTGTTCTGGTTTGATAGGCTGACGATGTTTTGGGGCTATCTGCTGTTGTTTGGTTTGCTTAAACGGAGCCGATGGACATTCCTGTGACATGGGATCTGCTTTGAGGCGGGTCTGAGGGCTGTGGTATGGTTAGTCTATTGTGTCTCCATTGTCCGAACTGTATTCTGTTCTGGGAGATTGTTGCTACTCTCCCTTCCCCTAGCTGTTTTTTGTTAAAAACTTCAATAGTTTTGTCTCTATCGACTAGATTCTTCTCTATATTCCTACACTCTCTCTTCCAGCGCCCTCTGTATTCGATCTCTAATATATTTAGGACCCCTTCCCATGTTTCCTGCGCCTGAATTGACGTGCGGTCTAACGTCTCTTGACATCTTCTTTTCCACATCATCCATAACGTTGCCAGACGTAGAATGTGAAAGAAAATGGTCTCGTGTCCCTGCCAATTGGGTGGGATGTGCAGGCCCAGTAGGAGAGTAAGAGGGTCTGTAGGGAGGGTTTTGTTTGTGATTATATGCCAGAGATCTTTTGTGTTGGACCAGAGTTGCTCCGCTTTTCGGCAGTGTAATAGGCAATGGCCCATGTCTTCTACGCTACCTTCGGGGCAGATTGCACATAGCTCTTGTAACGGGGTCCTGGCTTGGAAGTTTCTCCTCTTGTTCAACCATTGGTTAAGTGGGAGAGCCAGGTTGGCGAGTAGCCACTGGAAACTTCTAATTTTGACTTGGTTGATGTTTAGAAACCCAGTCCAGGGTATGTTCGGGATACGATTTTGGGTAAGATCAAAACGTGCCTCCCATCCTTAGTGCGTAGCCTAGTTTTCAATGACGATGACTTTACACACCGATTGCTGCTTTACTGTAACCTGCAGATCACTTGGTTGGACTACTACACATGGTTGTTCCCGGCTGGACTATGTCATGAATAGTCATTCTTACCCAGCTGCTATCTGGGCTTTCGTTTGTAATGAAGGCAATGACAGTAGTCGGCTGCGGTTCTTCCCCGCATGGTGGTTCCCGGTTAGACTATATCATGAGTAGTCATTCCCGGTTAGACTATGTCATGAATAGTCATTCTTAGCCAGTTGTTATCAGGGCTTTCCTTTGTATGGAAGGCCCCAGTACTAGTCGTCAGTATTGAGCTCTCATGAAGCCCCATGTTTCCCCTTCCCCCCTCATTGCCATCTGTACCAGTGTACCTTCTTTTTTTTTTCTTTTTTTTTTTTGGACTTTCTTTTTAGGAGCCCCCTGCGACATGAAGAAGTGTTCCATTGATCGAGCAAAATTTCCAAATTCCCAGTGTTTGGCCTTTTTTTTCGGTTCCTTTGGGGAAAGAAAAGGAACATATTGACAAATACTGTACAACCTTGATGGATCAACCCTGCATCTCGGACAAGTGACAAGCCAGCCATGAACCCCAGAGATAACCTCTCTCCACATATCTGTCTGTCTGTATGTCTGTCTGTCTCGTGGCGGCGGTTGAAACCGGTCGGGGTGCCATACCCGCCGGCGTAAGAGTGTGTACCGTGCATATTGTTTTATCTTACGAATACAGTTCTATGAGTTTTTTCGAACTCGGTTTGTATGCATGCACGTCATGTACGTCTTGTATACTTTGCCTTCTTGTGTAATCAACCAACCAACCTGTCTGTCTGTCTGTCTGTCTCTATGAAGCCAGTTCACCAATGCTGGCTCGCCATCTGTAATGGGAAGAAGCACCATGACATGCGGATGCATGTAAGGTTCCCTTGAGATTTGGTAGTGGAGCATCCATATAAAGGAGACATTCGGGGGCCATATTCAAGACCAACACGATGAATGCTATGCATTAGATCACAGAGGAGGAGGTGAAGGGATTGTAGGCTAGGGTCATAATAGCATGATGCACTCTCCTGGGAAGTCTCTATGACTTGGAGAGAGCTGATGTCTGTGTTCCTCCTGGGATTAGGAGTCTTTAGGAGCAGGAGAAGGACGTGGAGGGGTACATTTCATCTTGGTTATCATCATATTTTGCCTCATGTGTGTTTCTCAAAATATTTATTTTTTATCCTTTCACAGTTTCAGCCACTTTTTTAACGCTAATACGCTCTCTACTATCCTCCGTGTTTGTGTGTGTGTGTGTGTGTGTGTGTGTGTGTGTGTGTGTGTGTGTGTGTGTGTGCGTGCACACACGCTTGTGTGTCCGTGGGTGGCTGGGTGGGTGGGTGCATGGATGGTTGGGTTGATGTGTGTGGAGGTGTGTGTGTGTGTGTATGTATTTGAAATGGCCGCAGCTGATCTTTGATCTTGTAAGGAACCCACGGGTTGTGGACTATTATAACTTCAGAGGGACTGTACATCCACCAGAGCCAATCTCCTCTTCAACAGTTATTCCGGATTTTCAACAAGCTTTCCCAGTTCATGTATTAACGCCCGTTCAGGTAGGGCTTCTTTCTGCTGTGCATTAATTTTCCACCTTTTCATTGCGGTTCTTTGCCCTTGTTCCTTCTTTCTGCTGTGCATTCATTTTCACCTTTTCATTGCCCTTTGTTGTTCCCATGGTAACCGCCTGGACGTCCGGACCGGGTTCCAGACAGTCCGGTGTCCGGTGTCCGGTCCCCATGTCCGGATGGAGACCCCTGGGGCAAAAAAAAAATAAAAAATGGGGCGGCCCAGGACGTTTGTCGGGTCCTGGCCGCTCCTCAACAAATAACGGGTTGATTTTAAAGTGTCCTTTCACCCCACCGGACATGGCCTAGAGGTCCAGACAAAAGACACTGCAGGTTTTTGAGGTGGCAGGTTTCGCACAGGCCCGAGCAATTTCAAAGCGGCCGTTTCGACGTGGTGCGCGCCGCTGCTGCCCGTTAGGGAGAGAGAGAGAGAGAGAGAGAGAGAGAGAGAGAGAGAGAGAGAGAGAGAGAGAGAGAGAGAGAGAGAGAGAGAGAGA